CAAGGCAGGTGGAATCCCGGCTGGATCCCCCCGCGGCACGAGCTGCTGGACGGAGCAGGAGCAGGAGGAACCTCTGCTGCCTCATCACTGCGGCACCTCACGGGAAAGCACTCCAAAAATCCCTTCCTTCCACACACTCCTGTGCTCCAGGGCTCAACCTGGAGGTCACCAGTCCAGGGAAATCCTGGAATGGTTTGGGTTGGAAGGGGCCTTAAAGCTCATCCAGTGCCACCCCCTGCCATGGGCAGGGACACCTTCCACCAGCCCAGGGTGCTCCAAGCTCCGTCCAGCCTGGCCTGGGACACTTCCAGGGATGGGGCAGCCACAGCTTCTCTGGGCAACCTGTGCCAGGGCCTGCCCACCCTCACAGGGGAGAGTTTCTCCCCAGTATCCTAAAGATCCAAGGATCAGTTGGTCAAAAAGCAGCTTGAACCCCCAGACAGGAGCCTGGTGAGCAATTAGAGACAGAGATGAACCCGAGGTGAGGGCACAGGAGGGGGATGTGGAGCCAAGAATACAGTGTGAAACAAGCTAAAAGCAGCTTCACTGGGGCTGAAGTGCTAAGAGGAGGGAAAAGGAAACACTTTCCAGTAAAGCTTTGCCCCTGGGATTGCCCAGAGGCCTCCAGTGCATCACCATCCCCCTTTCCCATGGCAAAACCTGGGGAAATAGGAACAGATTGAGGGTAAAGCCAGACACACCCCACACCCCCTCAGCCTCCCCATCCCTGAGACCCCCAGGCAGATGCACCAGGATGCCATTCCAAGGGTGTTTAACACTCCAACACAGTGAATCAGTGCTTTATTTTCAGCATGGAAAGAGGTATGAGAGCAGCAGTGAGCTCCAGGTAACGAACTGGTGTGTCAGATTTTTACTGGTGCCCTCAGAGCTGTGGGATTGAGGCAAAACACACGGAGAGAAACCCCCCCCAGTGTGTCCCTGAGTGCAGCTGCCCCAGCAGCACAGCCCCAAAAACCCCACAGGTCAGAGCTTCTCCCATCTTCAAAAATCCTTGGGCATTGATTCCAGAGGAGGATTTGGTTTCTGGGACAGGGAGGGAAGGCCACGAATCAGGTGCTGAATTAAGGAGGACTCAGCATGACAGCCCTTGGGAGCACCGAGGCAGATGTGCAGATGTGGTTCCTGGAGCCTGAGCTGTGCCAAGAGAGCCCAATCCCGGCCTCCCTCCCACCAGGGCACAGCCAGGAGGGTCCTGAGTGCCACTGGGGTTTATTGCACAGTGATAAACCTGGTGTAAGGCCAAGGCAGAGCCGAGGACACGGAGCCAGAGCCGTCTCTACTGCGTGCAAGGTGGGCAGAGGGGGAGACCACCTGGATGCTGCCCAGGGGGATCATAAAACATCGTTGCCCCAGCACCCTGGGAGGGTTTATATAGGACAATTCATACCGTGATCCTGGCCCAGAATAGCACCAGGGATTAACCCAGACTCTGACCCCAGCTAATCCAGCGTGACTCCCTGGCAGTGCCAGCGCAGCGACTCTGCACTGCATCAGTGCCTGGCTCTGCTCTGCAGAGTGTCCTGGCTGGCTGGAGTCAGCAGCAAACCCTCCCCAGAGCTCAGCAGAGGCAGGAGCGCAGGCACAGCCGCTCCTTGGATGGGCAAAACCCAAAGGACTCTGCTCCTGGCAGAGGGGAGAATGCTGGGGAGCACAGCCGGGTCTGGAGGGGGGAAGGGTGGGGAAAATGAAGAGCTGTGGGGTTTGCATCACCCTCAGGTCATACAACCCTCCACGTAGCAGCACAGAACTTCAGCAACCCCTTTTTCCCCTCACCTCCCCCCGGGGCCTCCCGGGATCCCAAGTTGGAACTGGACCAGGAAAACCAGGAGGGAACAGTGAGAGGGAAACCAGGAGGGAACAGTGAGAGGGAAATGAGGGGTGAACCACGACAGGGAAATCAGCAGGGAACTGAGTCAGGGAAACCAGGAGCTTCCTTAGGTTTCCTCTTGCCACAGTGCCCCTTGCTGGGATGGTGTGAAGGCAGGATCAGCCCAGGGCAGAGTGCCAGGGGGAGCAGCTCGCTTACTTCTCCTTCGGGTCGTTTTCAGCTTTACCTAAAAGAGGGGGAGGGACGATCAGGGCTCGTGTTTCTGCCTCCAGAACCACCAGCCCTTTTTATATGAGTGTTTTGCTACACTCCTCACAACCATCCCAGCACAGCAGCTGGTGCCCAGGGTGCTGCTCAAAATCTGGCCTCCTGAGGCCTTTTTCTGACTTGGAGGAAGCAAAGAGCACAATCACCAATGGGAAGAAGCCCTGCCCTTCCCACAGCCCAGCTCCCTACCCACAGGGTTGCAATATTCACAGCTCCCACCCAACTTCCTTCCAGTACCTAAAGGGCCTACAAGAAGCTGCAGACGGACTTTCCACCAGGACATGGAGGGACAGGACATGAGGGAATGGGTTCAAACTGACAGAGGGGAAATTTAGATTGGATATTAAGAAGAAATTCTTCCCTGTGAGGGTGGGGAGGCCCTGGCACAGGTTGCCCAGAGAAGCTGTGGCTGCCCCAGCCCTGGGAGTGTCCAAGGCCCGGTTGGATGGGGCTTGGAGCACCCTGGGCTAGTGGAAGGTGCCCCTGCCCATGGCAAGGGGTTGGAATGAGATGATTTTTCAGTTCCCTTGCAATTCTCACCATTCCAGGATTCTATAACTTGCCCAAGAAGTGATAGCAACCCCCCCCAGCCCCACCATGGGAGCTCCCTGCCCTCACTTTGCTCCCCCAGCAGAAACCCCCCAACACTCAGCTGCCCCTTGGACCCCCAGAGATCCGTGAGCACATCCAGTCACACACTGCTCCTCCAGGGGGAGGCTGTGGAGCCTCCAGCTGATCAGTCTGACAGAGATTCAGGGCTCCCAGGCAGCTCCTTGGCTTATCAGCCCAGCCAGAGACGCCCTGCCCAAAGCAGTGCAGTGCACACACTGCCCAGGCTATCAGCAGCTCCCCAAAAACCACTGCACGGGCTGGAACAGCCACAGCTGGTACCTTTTGGGACGAACTTCAGCGAGCTGCTGAATATTCAGAAGCGGGACTGGCCCCGCTTGGGCCCATCGTTGAGGAATTCGTGGCCCAGCCCGTTGCCGCACTTGCCACAAGTGACCTGGAAGAGCAAGCAGAGGGTTGGCAGCAGCCAGGCTGTCCCGGCCCGGGCTCACGGGACACGAGCCCGTGGGGTGTTTTGCCGCCGCCCCCCCGAGGGTTTGGGGACGAGCACCTTGAGAGCCCCCGGGCGCTCCTCCCGCTTGGCCACGCTGTCCCCACGCAGGGTCTCGGTGAAGGCCGGCCAGGGCGAGGAGTGCTCGTACTTGGCCCGGCTGGAGAACAGCTCATGGCCGCACTTGGCACACACGTAGATGCCTGGGGGGGGCGGGAGAGGGGTCAGTGCGGGGGACGGCGGGGGTGACACGTGAGAGCGGTGACACGGGACACCCGCGGGGGACTTTGCCCCGCGTGGGTCGGTGCCAGATGCTGCTGCCGCCGGACCCCCAGGGACCCCCCAGGGCAAGGCAGGGGGGTGGAGGGGGCAGAACCGCTCTCCCCGTGGGGGTCCCCGCAGGACAGGATCCCCCCAGGACAGGATCCCCCCAGGACAGGATCCCCGCAGGACAGGATCCCCCCAGGACAGGATCCCCCCAGGAAGCCCCTGCAGGAATCGACCCCCTCCCCCACTTCAAATCGCGGGGATCCCCCAAAAACGACCCCAGAGCGGGGACCCCCAGCGCGGTCCCCACGAGTAGAGGATGCTCCGCAAAAGGACACCCCCATTACCAACCCCCCCC